CCTGGCGTCTCAGTTTCATCTACCAGTAATAAAAGCTTCTTTGTGTGGCCGCTGTGAGAATTAAACAGATACCAGGTGGGTAAAGTGCCTGACGCGTAGTAAGCATTCAAGAAAGGGCAGTTAAGACCTGTTACTCTGGGGACCATGAGCTGCGTCTCCACAGCCCAGGGCAAGTTACCCGGATAATTCTGCCAGCAATGAGCTTTTGAGCTGGTGAGAGCATCTGGCTGCGCAGATCAACACAAGCCCTTGCAAAAGCCCTAAAGGAAGGGAATCGAGGCCGGCAGCTCTGCAAGGTCCGCCCCCACTGTTGCTCTCCCCTTTCTGTCTGACCCGTCATTCTTTTTATGGGACCTCAGGGGCCTCTAGTCTGATTCCCCCGCCTGGGCAACTGAGGCAGCGCTCCGCTGCAGAATCCAGGGCGTGGGCCAGTCGGGCCTGTGTGCCCTGGACTGGCAGAGGTGGAGTCCCTTGAGCTAGGATGGCACCCGGGTTGACAGAGCTGCGGATGATTTTGTTGTTCGCGGCGCGTCCCAAGCGCCCAGGCTCCCAGGCCTCTGCGCTATGCCGGGCCGCCAGCTCAAAGGGCCAGAGGAATGGGGCCGCCCAGCCCAGCGGTTCTCGGCTTCCTTGCTTTCAGGCCACACAGCTTCGCCTTACCCGGAGCAGCGCGCGGGCTACTCGCTTAGAAAGCGGTCGCGCCGGGCCTGGCACCGAGAGCGTGGGTAGGACTGCGGAGGCGTTGGCCGCAGGGGACAGGCGGAGCTGTGGGATTTCTTCCCGCAGCGGGCTAGAGTCGGGGCCGGCACACACTACTCAGCGAGTGAGGACGCTCTTGGCACTCCGGGTGGGCTGGGCCGTTAGTAGTTCTCTAGTTAGCTCGTTCAAGGGCCAGGGCTGGTAGCATCCTAAAGAAGGCCTTCCCCTACGTGTCTGCCCTTGTGCCAACCTCTCGGGTTTGTGGGTCCCTCCAAGAAAGGGAGCCTTTGAAGCAACTGGAGGTGCTTGTTGGGCCTCGCAAGGGGGGCATTCGTCTGGAGCATCCACAGGGTGTTACTTAGACTCTCAACTGCTGGGCGGCCCGGGCCTACCTGGCGGAGGAGCAGCCCTGCTGCTGGCATCGCGGAGAAAAAGAGCAGAAAACTCACCCCATTGGAGGGCACCCAGTCTGACCCTCTCCACTCCGATGCCATCTCGCAACCCCCGAGAAACCATTTCCGAGTTCCAGCCGCACAGTTACGCACGGAGTTTGGAGAAGAGACTCCCGCGGGGCGGCGCGCGAGGCCTTGACCCTGACACCAGGACTCGAGATCTTTCTGGCCCAGGCTCGGCTCCACTGCCCAGCCCCCGGCAGCAGCGACCCAGAGATCCTCCTTCCCTCCCGGCTCACCTCGCCTGCGGCCAGCAGCAGCTAGGAATGAGGACCAGCTTGCGCCGGGTTGGGTTCTGACGGCGCGAAAGGAGAGGCTGGTCCTTCTCCAGTCCCAGGCGCCTCCGCTCATGAGCCAGAGCGCTCAGGCATAGCCTGACTTTCCCGACTCTCCCGAGTGCCCTGGGCGCGCACTGGCTCACCTATGTACTCAAAAATAGCCACCCTCCCAAGGCGCACGTCCCCCCATCTATGCACACCAGCTCACGCACACACTTTCTCATGCCTTCTCACATCTCCCAGTACATCTTCACGCACTGTGCCGCGGCCCTTTCCAGAGTCCCTAGGCAGCTTTGAGCGCCCAGAGTACCGAAGCCATAGAGTTGGGATGGGGAACATGAAAAAAGGAAGGGGCCCAGTCGCGAGCCCAAGTTCTCCTCGGTTCTTCTCAATCTGCCTCTCAACACAAAAACATTCACAGGCCTCCTTTCCGGGGACCCCAGAGCATCCTGGCAAGAGGCGGGCACTGCTGGGGTCCTGGAGGCGGAATTACCTGCGTCCTGACTCCAGCGCTCTCACTCTGCTTGTCCCTGCTTTTCTCAGGGGCCGAAATGGTGTTTCCTACAAGGACTGGGGAAAATCGAGGACTGAGTAGCCCAGTGTTCTCACCCCAGATCTCCCTGGCTCCGTTTAACCTCTCCTTGTGTGATGCGCCATCACCACCTGCTCCCCAGGTAGATCCCCCACGCCTTCGAGATGCACTTCCGGGTAGGGACATCAGAGTGCAGGCTCGGCCCAAGTCCAGGCGAGGGCTGCTGAGCGCGGGGTGCGGGGAGGAGACTGACGAGCAGGCACAGCGAGCCCCCATGTTCCCCTCTGCCCTCAGTAGCCCTGGGCTTTTAAGCCCCCAAGCAGATGGGTCCACCAGCTGCCCTCAAGGCTGGGTTCTATCTTCTGCATTCTGTTTCATCTTCAACGGTTGCGTGGGGATGGGACCTGGCTGGGAACAAAGGAAAGGCGAACGAAGTCAGGGGAGCAGAAAGGAAGATTCGCGCTTCCAGTCGCTGTGGCCCTTCGGATCGCCGGTGCAAAACTCTTGGCTTCTGTGGCTACCCTGGGGGGCGGATGTCTGTATGTGACAAGCCACTGGGAACCTTGTTTGGTGGACACCTACGGGGAGTGGCTGTATTCCCCTGGCAATATCTTTGCCAAAGTAATGTCCAGTTGGTGTGCTTTGGTCGGGCCGCAGCCTCTCCCTCGGAATGGAGGACTGGTTTGTATAGATTTATGCAGTGGGGGAGTAGCTACTCCGGTTTATTTTCAGAACTTCTGCATAGCTTCCCGGTTTAAATAAATATTTTCGGGGTTAGCTTTCCAAGAGGGAGGGAAAAGAGGAAAGTTGCAACAAGTAGCGCAGCTATGCCAATTCGCTTTACGGAATAAAGCTCCGGTACAGGCACCCCGCCCCCTATTGGCAAGCGAGAGCTCCGGGCAAACTTCCGAGATCCCACCTGGACGGTCTAAGAGAAGGGGTCGCAGATGGGATCCCTGACCCCTGGCCACCTCGGGCTAAGACCATCTCCATCTCTGGGTCTCAGCCATCTGATGCCGAGGCCTTCACGGCAAAACAGTGCTGCAAGGCCGGCCCCAGCCCCTTAGGTCGATGAGCCGGGACTGGCTGCTGGTAGGGGCACCAGTGTGAATGTGGATTTGCGCGCTTCCGGGGAGAAACATGATGTGTATTTGTGTTGTGTGCGTGAGCGCATGTATGTGGGAGAGACTCAGTTGCGCTTGTATCTCGCTCGAGTATATATCCGTGCAGGAGAGGGTTTGTTCCATCTGAGGACACGTGTTTGTGTGTCTGTGAAAATGAGTTGAGGGTCTGTGTGTTTGCTTCTGTGTGTGCGTGTGAACATATGTGTGACAGAGTGTGTGTTTCCCTCTGTGGGGTGGGAGTTTTTGGTGGCGCTCGCAGTGCCTGGCACATAGGCTCTCAATACTGGTGATTTGAATTAACGTTAAATGTGTATGTTCGTGTCCGTTTGAAAGTTGGCGCAGAGCCTGTTTGCCTGTGAATGTGAGTGTGGAAAATAGGGGGCAGGAAGGGGTGATGCGGGCTCCAGGGGCTACTGTGTGTCCCCCCTTCCCAGAAGTAAGCCCGGGCCTGTCGGCTCTGCTCGGCAGACTCAAGGCGGCTTCACGCGTCGCTTGAGCCACTCCGGACCTTCAGGCAATAGCCGCCTCTTCACTCCGCCAGTGAGCAGAGGTCGGGCCGCTCAGGCCCTACAAGCACAGACCTGGTCCCAGGAGAGCCTGAGTTGTCCCCCCCAGAGCAGAGCCTCCAGGAGAGGCCGCGAAGGCGCCAGGACTGTAATTCCTCCTCGGGTGCGGGGACCGTGGGGTGCTTGGTGCGCCCCGAGGCGGAGGACTCCAGCCACGCAGCGCAGTCTTATCGTCCTAGAGATTCCTTTGACCTCCAGGCCCGTACAGAGCGAGGGCCGAGGCGGGGCCTCCCGCGCCAAGTTAGCGCGCCCGGCTGCCCGCGGAATCCTTGATACTTAGCAAGTCCGCACGAAAGGGTCTTCGTTGAGCTCTGATTTCACCAGAGCGGAAAGTCCCGAGAGGTCCCCGCGCTGTAGGATCGCGGGGCCCGAAAAGCGCCTCATTCCCCCATCCCTTCCCGTCCAGGCCCGGCAGGTTTGGTCAGAAGCGTCCTGGTCGCGGAGAAGGGACGTGTTTGGTACCTACAATCACCGCAAAGCCTCGATTTCCTCAAGGAGTCGCGCCCACTTCGGATCTGCCTAGACCCGCTTAGATGTGTCGCTTAAGAGGATAGGGGGAGCACTAGATCCCTAAGAGGGGAGGGGGTGCTGCAGGTTAATTTACAGCCACAGAGGCACCTAGGGCGCTCGACGGGCGGAGGTGCCCCCTCGGCCTGACCAGCCAAGCCCTGAAGCCCGCTTGCTCCCATTTAGAAGACGTGCCCGCGCGCAGGGCCTCCCTGAGTTTCCTTGGACTTCCCTCCTCCCCTACCCCTTCATCTCCACTCCAAACCGAAATTTCTGAGCCTGGAAACCTCTGCTTCACGGTCACACACACGACTCGGGTTTCGCGGCTGGATCAGCGGCTGCCCTTGGGGCCAGAGAATCTGTCCAGCGCGTCGCGCCTGGTTTTGGGGACTGGGACCACCGCTAAGGAGTCCGCCCTTCAGGAAACTTCCACGGCCAGATTTGTTTCCCGCCTCGGCATCTCCAAACACACGTACCCACTTTCCGTACACAGCCTCTCATTTCCTACCCCATCCCCGAGGTGAGGAGAGGCAGGTGAGGGTACTGCTAGGCTGGTGGGTGGGTGGGGGATAGGAGTCCCCGAGAGGAGCAGGCTGCCCCTGCTCTGCGGGGAGCTTCCCGGACAAGAAAAGGGACAAAGGGCTTTGGGGGAGGAGCTCTCAGAGTTTTCAGTCCCTTCACCTCGCGACTGATACACGTCGTGTATGTGGGAAGGCGTCTCCTGGTTCAGGGGACTCGTGGGGCATCGCTGCCCAAAACGGTCCACCCGGGTGTCAAGTCCCTGTAGGGAAATCAGACACTGCTGCACCGCCGGCTCGCGGGCCTCGTGGTATATATCCATATATATTTATGATTTCTAATTTTATTATAAAATAAAAGCAGAAATATTTCCCGAAGAACATTCACATGAGGGCATAACAGGGAGACGGCAAGTCCGCGGCTCGGAAGGCAGGCTCTGCCGGGAGCACTGTGGCCACAGTCCCGGGAGGAAGAGGAGAGCGGACGCGAGGCCTCACCGAGAGAGGGGCCAGAGGCAAGGGGGCGTTCAGGGGCTTCCGCGCCGCCGCCCTCTTTCTTTCACTTAAGTTACTAGGCGCAAAGCTGACACCTGCAGCCCCGCTGACCCCCGGGGGAGGGCCTCTGAAGAAGGCCTGGGTTCAAAGGTCCTATCTTTCCTTTGCTCTTTCCCCTGCATCTCTCACCCCTGAAAGAGAGGGATGGGGTGGGGGACAAATAGACGGCCAGGCACGAGGAGAAAGACTGAGGGGTAGAGATCGAGGGGCCAGGCGTGCAAGAGGTTGGCGGAGAGGAGAAACAGAAAAACAGAGAAAGAGAAACAGAAACCTAGTGAGAGGTGGGAAGCCAGAAATACGGAGGGAAACAGAGACAGAGAAAAGGAGGAAAGCAAGAAGGGGAGAGAGAAAGGAGAAGAGAGGAGAGAAGGAAGGAAAAGGCAGAAAGAGCAAGGGAGGCAAAGAAGGGAAAGAGCCAAGAGAAGGGAAGAGAAGGTATGAGAAAGGTGTATAATTTATTCCCTTCCCTGGTTCAAGGCCGGTCCCAGGCCTCCAAAGGATCTCAAAAGCAACTTGTTGAAAATAAATCCCGAACAAAGACCAAACCAGAGAGCGAAACGCCCTGCCCGGGCCGGGCCGGCGGTTCTGCCCGCTCCGCGTGCGGGTCTTTCAGTACCTGGTGGGGCCGCCGGCGCGGGGCGCCCTCTGGACACCGTCTCTCTCAGGTCTCCAGCGCCAAGCCCGGAAGGCGAGCGCGTTGAGGCAGGCGGGGCTCTAGGAGCCCAGGTCCACGAGGTTGGCAGACATGGGGTTGAGGATGGAGTCCTGCAGGCCGTGGTGGTGCTGCAGTGGGTCCGCGGCGCCTCCGCCCGGCACGGGCACGGGCACGGCGCTGGGGCCGGGAGGGTGGCCCAGGCTGTGCAGGGACGGCAGCCCGGGCGGCGGCGGCGGGCTGAGCAGCAGCGCGGGGCTGGACGACGAGTGGTCCGGCGTCCCCGACGGCGTCTTCTCGTCCTCCGAGCTGCCTAGCACCGACTTGCCGCTGCCGTTCAGCGACGCAGCCAGCGGGTTGTGGCTGTTGGAGTTGGAGTTTTCGCTGTTCTCCCTGCAAGTGCAGGAGCAAAGCAGCCGGGTCAGCGGGGAAACAGAGGCCGCTCAGCGGCGCGTCGCCTGGAGCCGGAGCCTGCCGCCCACCTCGGAGACACAGCTCGAGCGCTGCCTGCGGCTGCTCTCGGTTTCTACCATTTTCTCGGCCTGGGCTGGGGGTCTCGTTCTTTCTGCCAGTTCTCTCAATCTCGCAACACCCTCTTTCTCTCTCTCATCCTTCTCCCTCTATCATCTTTATCTCCCCATCTCTCATGCTCTCAATCCCATGAAAATTCTGCTTTCTGTGTGTTCTGTCCCCCTAACCCCCTCACTGGGTTGCGAACATTTCTTTCCCAGAGCGGAGGGGCAGGGGAGCAGGGATCCGTGGAGTTGGGGCGGGGGCTGGTGGTGGGAGGCGGGCAGGAAGGAAGAGAAGATGACTGGATTTTCAGATCACTCTTGGCTCCTCAAGCCAGGGTTTGCTGGGTAGAAGTGGGGCTAGGAGTGAGGAACTAGATCCTGGGCTGAGGGCCCCACTTAAAGTTTGGAGTCTCAGGGCCTTCGTCTCCCTTTGCTTTTCTCTGCCTGAGGGAAATCCTTGACTGCGGGTTCCTGGAGCTAAGGGTCCCTTCCCTCTAGCTCCAAACTGGAGGCCCTGTGAGGGCTCTCCTTACTGGGCCTAGGGACAAGGCCCCAAGGATGTAGAACTCTCTTTTCCTGGTGGCACAGTGGAAATTTCAGCTGGGGGACTGGGAGCTGGGGGATTAGACAGCAGCTCCCCAGAGAAGGGAGAAGGGAGGGGATTGCTAATCCTGGCCTAGATTTTTCCGCCATACCGGGAACTGAGAGACTGCAACCCTCAACAGGGGCCTGGCTGAGAACCTAGTTCTTCAGGAGTCTGGACACATGCCAGTCTGGGTGGAGGGGGACCCCAGCAGGGAGAACCCACCTCCTGCTCTGCTTTTGATTGACAGCCCTGCCTAGATTTGGAGATTTGAAATTTTGGATAGATTCTCTCCTCACCGGCTCTTGAGGCCTTTTCTTCCTGTTTCCCTTGAAGGGAACTTCCCACAGGGCTGGCAGCTGAGACCTTGCAACTGAGGATACCCCAGCCTTATGGTCTCAGAGACCAGGGTCAGCCTGAAGCCCCCCCTTTCCTCCCCCTCCAGTGATCTGGTTCCACTGTTCAGTACTCCCACCCAACCCTGATCATTCAAATTATGAGCTGCACACACCCCATACCACATACCCCAGGTGTCTTGTTTTGCTGTTAAACTCAGGCTGGATTCTGTTCCCACAGTCAGTTTCTCTCCCATTTCCCCCTCCAGATTTGGGGTTCTGAGGGGCCACAGGGCTGGCAGCCACTAGGGCCTAATGGCCAACTGTTAGGCTACTTCAGGAAGTCTTGGTTTCCCTGAAGACAAGTAACTCCCTGCCTTTCTGCTGCTTTCAGTTCACCTCAGACCCGCCGATCTACCCACCAAAGAGGGTAGATCCTGAGGAGAGAGGGGTCAAGGGCCAGGAGGGCCTGCTGGGTCCAACAAGGCAGAAAAAGGGGCATGTATTTCTCTTCTCCCCCAGAGCTGACATTTCCTCCCCAAGCCTTTCCCCTCTTGGTCCTTTCTATGCGGAATAAAAGACTCTGGCTATGAACTTCCGTATCCAGACAGGGAAACTTTTTGCCCAGGCCCCTCCACCTTCAGCGCCTCCACATCCAGGTCATATCAGGGAAGTTCCAATCCCAGTCCTGACCCCTAATCACACTTTGGCCTGGAGCTGAGTTAAGGCCAAGGGGAAGTTCAGGGAAGTGCTGGTGAATTCAAACGGTCAGTGCCTGAAATCCGCATCTGGGACAGTCCCCTCAGTCCCTGGGAGGACGATCAGGCCCTGCCTGCTGTGCCCCCTTGCACGAGGACCAGGCCCACTGTCTTGCTTTCCCTCCGAAACTTCTCCACGTTTGTCCACAAGCGATCAGGGAGTTAGTTACAACTTCCCCGATTGCTTTGCCGGCTCTAGACAAATCCCTGACCTCCTGGACTCCCGAAAGACCTGAGCGCCGTCTGGGTCAGACCAGGCTGCAGCTGGGCCTTGGCTGGGACTGGGGACCCACTTTAGACCTCTGTTGGGGGTGAATGAAGGCCCTTCGATTCCCCTCCCTCGGGTCCGCGGTTGCTGGCGCCGAAGCTCTACTTACTCGTACCTTTCCTTGGCCTCGGCGGCCCGGTCGCGCTGCCGCCTGTTCTTGAACCAGTTGCTGACCTGCGTGGTGGTGAGGCCCGTGGCCTCCGCCAGCTCGCGCTTCTCGCGGGGCGAGGGGTAGGGGTTGTGCGCGTACCATTCGCGCAGCACGCTGCGACTCTTTTCCTTGAAGCAGTAGCTGGTCTCCTCGCCGTCCCAGATGGAGCGCGGCAGCGGAAACTTGCGGCGCACGCGGTATTTGCCCACGGCGCCCAGGGGCCGGCCGCGCAGCTTCTCCGCCTCGATGTAGTGCGCCTTGAGCCACAGCTGCTGCAGCTTGGCGTGGTTGTGCGGCGAGAACTGGTGGCTCTCCAGAATCTTGTAGAGCTCGCGGAAGTTGCCGCGGTGGAAGGCCACCACCGCCTTGGCCTTGAGCACGCTTTCATTCTTGTGGAGGTGCTCGCAGGCGGGCAGCGACCACAGGAAGCGGCCCAGCCGCTCGATGTTGCCGCCCTGCTGCAGCACCTCGCACACGCACGCCACTTGCTCCTGCGTGAAGCCGAAGGTGGGCAACATGGACATGGTGCCGGCTGCGCCCCCGCCCGCCCGCGCGCGTCCTCACCGCGCTGCGCGGTCCGGCATGGGCCCGCGGGGCAAGTTGCAGCCCCGGCGCGCCCC